CACGTCCAATTTCAAAACCGACTATCTTACGGCACCCAAATTTTACAGGAGAGCGAAAAAATGGTTTTTATTTGAAGGCATTGCCTTGATGGGCGGCATTTTAGATAGCTATTATTTTACAAATCTGTTGTTTTAATAACGATTTTACTATTTTACGTATAAATCTAGGGTTACCAACCTAAATTTTCCCACAACGGCGGTTTCGCAACTGGTCAATGGACGGTTTTGCAAAAACATCGACGATTTGTTTTCTTTTACTATTTTAAGGCCCTTGTATAGCACATAATTAGCTCTACATTTAGCCTTAAAATGAAAACAATCGAACCGCAAGGTTCTTGAATATAAGCAATCAAAGAGAGTGTCGTTACGTGACAAAACATGGAAGCAGGTTTTTTCTTTTCTTACGAAATCGCAAAACCCTGCGAATTGTTTATGGCTCTTTTCATGAAACTTGTTTTAATATGATTTGGAGTAGTTCTAGTTGTTTTTAGAGTTTATTGAATTCGGAATTCGTATTAACATTTTAACATCTTGGGACCTTATGGAATATAACCAACAACAGCCCGGTATGTAAACGTGTTTTCAAATGTTCTGTTTTGAATGTACCTACATTCATTCATACAAATTTGATTTCGAATTGAAAACCCATTTACTTGAAAACAATTTAAAACATGATAACACGCAAAAAGGTAATACCATTGAGAGGCAGTCTCACGTTTGCCAGCAATAGAATATCTCTGCTAACAATTAGGTTTGATATACATTTGAGAATGATTTGAAAAAAGGAAACAATTAAGATAAAGTAATTTATAATAAATTCGTATTGATGGGCTGCAGCTTCTTCCATCCGCGCAAACATCAAATCCACTATTTGTGGGCTTTCTCTTTGAATTTTTTTTTTTTTATTCATTGCTTTTTTTTCAATTGATCTTAATTTTATTCTTACAATTTTTGATTTAACTGCGCATTTTTATATCGTTTGACACTTGTCATCTTTCTTTAAATCAACCTCAAATGAATTTCAAATGTAAAATTTAAACCTCGTTTTCAATTTGAGAATCACTTGAGAAAAACATTTGATATCATCTTCACGTGACGCCACAGCCGACATTTTTAAGAAAAGCAATTAATTGCGTTTTATTTTAGGCTTTGGCAATTCAAAGGTAGATGTCACTGAACGCTTAAGTTATTCGAAAATGTCGAACTGGTAGGCACATACTAGTTTATGAACTAGTATTTTTTCTGACTGGTTCGGGTTTTCTCTGCAGGGTATAAATGTGAATGTCTGTTTGTTTATTACCTTATAACTTCTGAACCCCGGCACTGAATCGCACGAAACTTTGCACACTTATTTGCTTTTACCCCGGGAAGGTTATAGGAATAGGGAAAAATGGGCAGTACTGGAAAAGGGGGCGTGGCCCCTCCCATAGGCGTGAATTATTTAATCAGCTCTAACTTCGGGACCGTAAGTTACATGAACTTGAAATTTGGTATGCAAACATATCTATGGTAGATGCTTATCTTAAGGTATGTATATATAAATGAGTTTGTAAAAAGAGGCGTGGCAGATAACATAAGCGTGGAATTTTTAGTCAGTCATAACATCGGAACCATAAGTCACATGAACTTGAAATGTGGTATGCAGACATATCTACGGTAGGTGCTTATAGTAAGGTATACATATAAATGAGACCGTGAAAGGGGGGCGACAAATTCCAAAGGCGTGGAATATTTTACCAGTTATAACTTCGGAACCATAAGTCACATAAACATGACATTTGGTATGCAGACATATCTATGGTAGGTGCTTATAAAGGGCTTGGAATTTTTCATCTGCCATAACTTCGCAACCGCAAGTAACATGACCCCTTTAATTCCTTCTGGCGTGGGGTGAAACCCGCGGGTAAAAGCTAGTTTTTTATAAATGAAAATTGGGGTGTCTTTTGCGGTCTAATTTCGAAAGCTTTTAAAAAAATTTGATTTCAAGTTTTCCTGTAAATTCGCTGGTATTTGGTTGGTAGGAATCAATACTAGAATTTACCTTGTAATGTTTTTACCATGATTTAAATCTCTACCATGGGAAAACCAAAAATAACTCTGTTTGAAAAAATCATTTTCCTTTTTTTCGTCTGTCGATTTAGAACTGACACTTCGTAACACAAAAAATTCGCTAGTTGCTAGCATGCAAAAGAGAATTTACGCGCACTAGTCATGGTTCCGAATTACCTAGTACCAAACCAGTACGGAACTAGTGCGTTTGTACATATGTATGTATGTAGATACATACATCCATATGTAAACAAGCCTTCAAATGCAGTCAAATGCGCGTTAACGCCTTATCGCCTCTCAATGCCCAAAAATATTAATAACAAATCTTGTTATCTCTGTTTTAACCTAAATAAATTAAAAGAAATACACCCACTCAAGAAAAATTTTAGTAAAAGTTTGAAAATAGTAAATTAAATTTAAATAAATTAATACATACATATTCATATATGTATGTACGTACAGTGGGGAGCGAAAATGCGTACATGGCGATTTTTGTTAAATATTTGTAAGGTTTTCAAAGTTAAAATTTGTTTGTTATTTTTTATAAAAATATGGTTCATGCTTTAGCCAAACCCATATACATAAATCAAACATTATGCAGAGCTTAGAAAAATTCAACAAATTTTCATAATTATTTTGAACTTTTTAATATAAATTTTTAAAAAAATTTTGGGTATGCATTTTTATACCCTGTTAATTTTTAGTATTATAAAGTGCAAGTTTTAACCCGCTGAAAAATCGCGTTGATTTCTAATATTTTTTTTTTTTTGCTGACGGTTGATCGGTGTATTTTTTCCGCTGACATCCCTAAATCAGGGCAACTGAGAGGGTAGAAAATTAATTGAAATTAAATTCAGTCATAAAACATTTAGTTATTGAAAGTTATCAAGTCACCAAAACTTTTCGAATAGCCGAAGTTTAAAGATATCGAAATTTATCGAGTTATACATTTTTATTGAGTTATCGCGGCGTATTGAATTATTCAAATTGATCAATGTTTATTGAGTTGCCGATATTTATGGATAGTTATCGAGCTATACAAATTTATGTGATTATCGAAGTTTTTCAAGTTAAAGAAGTTTATCAAGATATCGATATTTACTGAATAATATTTTTTATAGAGCTAACGAAATTCATCGAGTTATCGTAATGCATCGACTAATTTATATTTATTCATTTACCGAAATTTCTGAATGCAGTGTATCAATGTTTTTGGAAGTATTCAAAAAATATCGAGTTGTTGCAATTTCAAGGTTATATAAGTTTATCGAGTTATCGCTGCTTATCGAAATTTAGCGTGTTACTAGACTGTAACGAGTTATCGAAATTTGTCGATAGTTTTCAAAAAATACGGATCTATCAAAATTAACAGAGTTAGCGAAATTTATAGAGTTATCAAAAGTTTATTGAGTTATCGATCTATGTATATAAATTTTTGAGTTATCGAAATTCATCGAGCTCTCAAAATGCACAGTTATCGAAAATTTTCGAAATTAGTCGAGTTATCGAATTTTATTGATTTATCGGATTTTAGACTTTTTGAAATTCGTCGAATTATCGACATGTATCAAATGATCGAAATTGAGCGACAAACTGGAATGTATTGGGCCAATTCCAAGACCTACCAAAGACCTGCCACCACGTAAGGGCGCACTACAATAAATATGCCAACGAAGCCTCTCGATTGTGACCACTTCAAACATTGACGACCACCACAACGGAATAAGTGCTACTGTTGTACTGGATCACTTATAAAGCTCATAATAAATATTAACCAGAAGCGCAGTTTCTCAATCCACCAAAATTTTTAAGACGCTACTTGCTAAAATTCTTTACCACAAGACATTATAGATTACCCCACAACCACATACCTTTCCCATGCAACGGAAATTCTGTTACGTATACGCCATGGCTTTAGCAACAGTAAACGGCGTTATGGGCATTTATTGCACACTTTATGTGCATTGCGATCGCTATATTTGAACACATACATACATATGTACATACATATACACTTATGATCAGCTATGTAAACCAGCAAGGTTTTAATCAATTTTGGAATTTTTTGTTTGTTTATGTGGTATCACCACTTAGTCCTTTTATACTTTACTATATGTAATTTCAAGAATTTCAGAAATTGATTGGTCAAATTTAGGCAGTAAGAAATTTAATTCCTCTGCGGTAAGTGCGTGAAAATGTTTTGTTGTCATGAGGTCACCAATTATGGTTTATAACCAAATATTTATTTAATAATATATATATGTATATATTTAAATATTGTCTGTATTCCAGAAAGTTACAATATCTTTTTATGAAAAACAGAAATCAGAAAAAATAGAAAAATCAGAATTTGAAACACGAACTCAATGAATTCTTGAAATTACATATAGTAAAGTATAAAAGGACTAAGTGGTGATACCACAGTTTATTTAATGTTTATTACTTTTTCATAAAAGTCTAGCTCACACAAACATCATATAAATCGACAATTCGAACTTTGTGTAAGAATTATAAAAAATTTGCAAGTTTGCAATTATTGAAAAATCGCGTTGATTTTGGGCAGTTTTTTCCACGCATTTTTTTCATGCAAAGTACGTTGGAGAATTTTTTTGGATGGAAAAACACGCGTAATACTCTCAGATAAAAATTATTAAAAATCAACGCGATTTTTTAGCAACTTAAAACTTCTGAAAAATCTGAATAAAAGGTTACAAATTTATACGAGGCTTTGCAGATTTTTTATAATTTTTGCACAAATTTTGAAATGACGATTTTTATGGTGTTTGTTATATAATGAGCTAGACTTTTATGAACAAATAATAAACATTAAATAAAGAAACGAAAAATTCAAAAAAAAATTATCAAAACGTTGCTGGCTTAATTAGCTGATCGCAAATGTACTTAACTAAATTGCTACTCGCGAGTATAATGCAAGCAAACATAAATATGTATTAAAGTAAAAAACGTACAATTAATTGCCATTTTTTTAACTGCATTGCTTCATTCATACCATAATCGTATAGCACCAACTAGGCCTACCAGTTTCCGAACTTAGCACTCGAGAGCCGTTTACTGTGCATCAACGGTAAAATGACATAAATAGCGGCAAGTGCAGAGCGCATAATGGCAATCAGTGCCACTTCCACTTAGCTCACTGAGCGCACGCTCTACGGGTTCTGTGTCCACTCAACTGCTGATAGAGAAGTGGGTGCACTCTCGCGCACAAACGAGACAATGAATGGACAAGAATGTTCCTTAACAGTCAACAAGCGAGCCAGTCAACGACACAAACAAAAAAAAAAACCATGCACAAAGCATTGGAGGAAAAGTCAGTCACTTGCGGGCGTTTGAGCGGAACACTACGTGGAACGGAGATAAAAGAAGAGTTGTGTTTTTGCTTTTCGTATATAGGCGCATGCATTTGTATATAAATAAGAACATATGGTTAAAAGATTTATTTGCTGTTTGCACAATTGAAAAAGTCAACACCGCTAATAGTTACTTGAGAGCAATTTGAACGTTTTCGCGCAAAGTGGCTTGCAGTTAATTAAACTGCAATGAATTGATCATTGGAAATAATTGAAAATAGAGCATTATTCGAACATACATGTGTATAAACAATTTAAATCAAGTGACAATAATAAATAGATAAATAATATTAAAATTTTATTGACAAACATTTAAAATAAATCATCTAAAAACTGCCTACCTACTAGTATTTGCGTGTGCGTCGCAGAGGAACTACAAAATTTTGTGCAAAGCAAATCGTTCAATAAACAAACAAAAAATGCTGGACACTATCATCTACATACCCACCATATTGGCGTACGCTTTCATTTCGCTGCTTGTCATTATCCTTTGCTTCATCGTAGTCTACATCAGCCATAGAATTTATGTATGCCTCTACGATAATCTGCCCGTGGCGCATGCGGCGCTCTCAACCATAATGAGTGTGGATTCCAAGGACAATGCGCCGACCAGAACTCATAGCAGCATTTTGTTGCGCTCAACGTCTAGTATAAATGAACGCAAGACGAAAACAGGTTAAATTTACTAGTTTGAATAGAGCTGCAGCGATTCATTGTTGTGCTACAGGTTCTATGGCCACAGGCTGCAGCAGCCTTCAATGTTCGGCGTGTACGAGTCTAGCTAGCATACATACATATAAATTGTGATATGATTTAGTGTTGATGAAGGTTGTTGCTTGGCTGATGGTGGACTTCGGCATAAAATTGTTAATGCTTAAATATTTTGTACCTTTCGTTTTTCATATTTTAAACATATTACTATTTTCCATGCTGTTTGAATTTGCGCAATGGTTTGTGTGCTCATTACTACACACCCACAATCGACGACATTTCGTTTCAACGCGATCACAATCAATATCCGTCACCGCCAACCGCTATCACCCATGCAGCGCTGCGTATCATTGTCACACTGGCCCCAACTTACCTAGCCTATGTGGCCTTAGAACTCGAAAAGTGTGCGAAGGAGAGCAACACGAATAAGGAGCAATATAAATTAATTAAGTATTATGATCGTCTATCACAAATACCAATGATAAATCCTTTATCGAGCTGTACCAGCGAACATGAATTGTATGCTAGCAGTGGACGCAAGATGAAGCAGAGGCCGCCACAGATGTCGCGAAATACAACTGTTTGCGAGTCAAATGTTTTGAATAAATCCGCAAATGCTTCCACAAAATCTGTTGCCACTTCGACCACAAAATTAACATCGTTTAATGTAGAGAGTTTTAACGTCAAGCAAGAACCATCTGTGATTCGGCCATCGGGTTCTGTGGTGCGTCCATCGGGTTCTGTGATTCGGCCATCGAGTTCTGCGGTGCGTCCATCGGTCACCTTTGCAAATGCGGTGAATGCGCTTGCAAATATCAAATTAGCAACACCAGCCGAGGATTCGCAGTGATCTATGTATGTACATATCGTCACCTGAAATTCAAACAGACGCAACAAACATCAACGCTGCAGTGCAAAAAGTCATAACTAATAAAAAATTCAAAATTCACTTTTTGATTTATATGATGGATTCCATCGAATTACTCCCATAAAATTTTATAAAAAAAAAAAGAAATAAAAATATTAGTCACGACTTTTTCCATTTCAGTTGCGATGTTGTTACGTCTTTTTACATTACAGGTGACGATATATATATACATATATGCATATTAGTTATGTACTAACTTATAGGCAACTACTCTATATACTTGCATGCATATACATTAGGGTAATCCATAAATAGTTGTGAAAAAGTAAAGTCGGAATTTTAATACTCTCACCCCCTAGGATTGTTTTATACCGAAAAAAATAATACTAACTTTTATAGGTCCGCCAAAAATGCCTGAAAATGCAATGGAGAAATTTTCAAAAATCGTTAGTAATAAAAAATGGTTAAATAAACAATTCGGTATTATTATTGGAGGTCTCTTGAGGTGAACCATAGTTATCCGATCGTAAAATATTGATTTTCAAGAATTCTATGCCATTTCTAAGAAAAGTGATTTTTCGCCCTTAAAAAATTACATGGAAAACTTTGTGCGCTTTGAGCGACCTCTAAATATTTTTTGATTTCGAAATCAAAAAATGGGGTTTATTTTTTTTCGGTACAGATTAATCCTTGGAGGAGCATTAAAATTCCGGCTTTACTTTTTTGGACAACCCTGCGCATGCTCACCAAAAAAAAGTAGCGTTTTTTCCACCGGAATTAATAAATTTCTTATATTTATTTTAAGACTTTCGATAAAATAACTCGAAAAATATTAGACCGATTTAAATTTTTTTTGATACTGTTGATTAAATTTTTAAACATTTTTATCAGAGACGGCAACAGTTATATTTGTAATAAAAATCATAATTTAACCGCTAAAATTGAATTGGAAATTTTCTGACCAAATTTTAATTTTTCGAAAATTTTTTGGATTTTCATTTTCAGATTAAATTTTTTAGATCATAAATTATTTGAATCGGTCATAAAACGCAGCGTTACCTTAATTCACGAAAACTTTCATCAACAAATTTTTTATTTTACTGGAAAAGCAAAAAACATTATTAAAAAAATCACCAAAGCAGGTAGGGATTTTTAAAAAGTGGCATGTAACTCAGTTGTTTTTGGTTCTAGCGCTTTAAAATTTTGATTAAAATTGTATTTTAATATATCCTACCAAAATCTGTGAAAAACGCAATTTCGTAAAAAATTCCTTTGTGAATTAAGGTAATGCGCAGTCTCCATAACGATTATTTTTGATCGAAAAAAAATAAGCTCACAAAATAACGATTAAATTCCGCCGAAAAAATCCAAATTTAACTAAAATCAGAAAAATTCAAAATCACAGAGTAACGATTAAATTAGACCGAAAAAAATAAAAGAAAATAAGGATTTTTAAATGAACTACATAAAAATAAAAATCTTGATATTTAACGGTTATTTTTGGCCCCTGATTTTTATGCACATCTTTTAAGCTTAAACTCGTCTATAACCTAAGGTGATTTTTGGAAATACTATTAAAAAAAAATATTACTATAAAAAAACTCGAATTTTGGAGTATTTTGAAGTAGGTCCAGCTCATCTAAATCTCAATATCTCTCTGAAATATTTTAGTGAATGTCTTAAAATATCTATTATATTTTTATAATTCCGAAGGAAAACTGTACCGATTATTTTTTTTGTATGGGCAGTGAATGCATCACTAATGTACATACATGCATACATACATACAAATGAAGACACCTAAGAGGTTAATTATGGAATTATGCAGTTGAAAAACTTGTTTCTATTATTTCTAAAGACAGGTATTTAGTTAAGCAGTGTGTTTGCTTGTAGCTACATTGTTTTAAAATAAATACATACATATTTGTATATACATACATACATACATATGTGTATACCTATACCTCTATACATACATACATATTTTTGAAATAGTTTAATTTTATAAAATGCTCTGCTTAGACTTTACACTGAATACCTGCATACAAATATGCACTTCGAAGCGTGAAGAAAAAAAAAATAATAAAAATAAAGAAAATAATGCAGGTTGGATTAAATACACAATAAGCTTTTAACAACTTAATAACAAAAAAAAGAAAATGTTAATTTGTAAATGCGTCGAACCGAAAATGACTATACTTAAATTTCATGGAGAACATTTTGCAGTTATCAGTGCAAAAGTGCACCAAAAAGTATTTTTTGAAATACCTTTTTTTTATATTCCATTAATTTACATTTAGATACACCCCCTCAAAGCCAAATTCAAAGAAAACATAAGTTTTACTTATACTTTTAGTGTATACTTTAAAATCATTTTCTCTTTGTTAATTGTTGACGTTTTTTTTGCATCATTTATAACATTGCTAATTTGCCATTTAGCGCCTTTTGCCTTGCTGGCGATGGTATAAATAAATATAGATACATATGTATGTAAATAGATAACACATGATATGTTTAAAAATAAAACCTCGAAAAAATTCACTGAACTCATTAAGCCTACCGGCGCAGCCGTTGCACTTCGCGGAAGTATTGTAAATAAAATAAAAAAGTTTATTAAAAATTCAATTATACCGTTAAGCAGTGCCTAGGTAATTATTAAATACGACCTTTGCATAGTCTTTTCATGGTACAGTAAGACCTCGCTAATCGTGGCTAATAATTACACTCCGCTATCTGGGTTAAATATTTTTAATAATAAATTGAATTGAGTGAAAATTTAAATTTGAAGCTTTTGGTACTCCGCTTTTTTAAAAGTTAGTATTAACTAATTCATGCTATTTTGCTAGAGTCCATCTACAAAATACCGTGGTAAAGGCCCATTGAATTTGGAAGAAAAAAATACCCGAAGTAAATGCAAAAACGAACAAATTTGAAAGCGTAGTAAAAAACCATGTTTTCGGAGCAGTGTTCGGACTGTAAAACCATTTTTAGTAGTAGACAATCTGAAAAAATTTGGTAGATTTTAAAATAATGTAGTAGATTTACATACATATATATTTATATGCATGTATGCAGTAAAAATTTCTTTTTATTTATTCTGTGGATATTTTTGATGTTGTTCGTATGTGAATTGAATATTTACGAAAACAACATACGAAAAATCAAGTAGATGCACCAGACAATTAAATTTGTAAATTATGTTAAATCTATTCTGTGTATTTACTTGAGAATCTAGATGTCTTAAATCTCAAACGCTTTTTAAAAAAATTACATTTCAAAACATTTTCCACATTTTTATTTAATTTTATTGAATAAGGTTTTGCTTTCGTTCATTTGCCTTCGTTTGTATAATGTGCTTGATTTTAAGCTTACTGTAGTAGATGTGTGGAAATCAGATTTGAAAAAAAAATGTGGTAGATCCAACACAATTGAAGTAAAGTCCGAACACGGTTACTAAGCCACAATCAATTCGTAGTTATGCTTCGAAAACTTTAGTACAAATGACTGGATATTAAAATTATTAAATGTGCGGTTTAGCGAAGTCTTACTGTATTTGCAAATGACAAATCTGTTGGTGGTCAAAAATATTTTATAGTTCAAAATATCGTTTGTATTTTAGTATGGTTTTAATATGTTTCTGGCAATATAATAACACATGGAGCCCAAAATCGTCAAAAATACATAAGCGAAATTTTTTTCAAAAGTTTATATTTGATGCAGAATTGTTCCTAGAGCATCTAGACCCATTTCTGCATCAAAAATAAAACTTTGAACAAAGAATGCCGCCGGCTAGGGTCGATATGTGTGTACATATGTAAATATAAAGGAAAAAATAGAAATAAAAAAGAAAAATTATGAATAAAAAAAATTGTCTTTAAGGCCGAGTCAGACGATTGCCCAATGGATAAAATTTTTGCCTTTGGCTCAATCATGATTTATATGTGCTGTACCAATTTGTGACTGCTAAAAAAAATTGTTGCGTAAATTTTTTATATTTTCTACAAATAAATATAAATATCTACCAGTCGTCTGATCTGGTCGTAAAGTAGGCAAAAATTCAGATATTCTAAACATTAATTTTTCAATATAATATTTTTAGAAGTTTCTAGTCACCCATAAAAACAGATGTAAATACATATATACATACGTACTTGCAAACGATACTATATTTACACATAAGAATTAAAAATATATATTTATATTTAAGTTTACTTAAACTAATTATTGTTAATAATTTACCAAAATATAATAAAAATATATATTAAAAAAAAATAAAAATAAGGCTAAATTTACGCAAATCACACTTTTTAATTCTCTGCTACTTAGAAGACACTACGAATTCTTGTCGGTTTGGGCCTAGACTAAAAGAAAAAAATGCCAATCGCTCGCACCATGTGTAGTCAGATGCTTCTGAACTTGGTCCTTGCATTGTGGCCGTGGGCGCCCTTTCGTTCATTGGCCACACTTAGGTGCCCGAGTCAAAAAGTCTTTTCACCACGTACAACATGCCAAAGCCAGCGCATCGTATTTCGTCATTCCATCTTCATCGTTCTCCCGAGAATAGATAAATTTTGCGCAGACTAGTTCTTTCAGATCCCAGAACCCTATCATCTTTACTCGACATCGTTCATGAGAGACCTTTTAGAGCGTGATTTTTCTTCATCGAGAGAGAGCCCTGCTTTCTTATTGCCGAGCCCTTGGGATCACCTGTTGACAAGAAATATACTTTGTTTGATCTCTAGGCTGACATCAAATGGTCGTGTTAATGCTGGATCCGATAGAGACAAAGTCCACCCAGACAGAACGAAATGAAAATGGCACAACGCCGACCAAACCAAACTTGGCAAGGGATGACGGAAATTCGTCCCAAAATAAATCATCCTACCACCCTGTAGGAATAATCAACCACCACCAATATGGAGACATTGCAATACTTCAAAATTTTGTCAGGAGGTATTTGACATAATTCTTCGTTCACCGCTGGATCAAACTCTTTTGCCTACTTCTCTAACCTAAGAAATGCTGTGCTCATATCCCTGTTGTTGATATAGATACGACACAAAAAATAGGCGCATCTGAGTTAGAATAGTTTGTCTGACAAATCTGAGTTAGTAAAAAGTTAGGTTGGTTCATCGACTTAAGGTAGTCTTTCACGGCGTTCAAGATATGATAGATTGACGGAAATCGACCAGTTGATATGAAATAACCCGGGGCCATGGATATTTCCTCAAACCAGCATTGGCGAGCACAGAAAATTTCATCAGGAAACAGTTTATCAACTGTCCCTGTTCTCAAAAAAATTACCACGGATGGTGCCGATACAACTAAAGTCGAAGATATCACGTTTAAATTTTTGTCTCGATTGAAGTCGGTTAACGCATGTCGCACAGGTGCAAAAGTTCAGATTACCCTATGAAGACCTCTTAACCGACTCCAATCGGGACCAAAATTTATATGTGATATCCTTGAATTTAGTAGTATAGATTTTTGGTTTTAAATGAAAAAAAAGATATTTTTAATGTTCTAAGTCCATAGAGGCATATGGCCTTTGACCCCTTAGCGACACGCCTTAACCGACTTTAATCGAAACCAAAATGTATATGTGATATCTGTGACCGTGGTATTACCGACTGAGGGGGTGAGACTAAAAAAAAATGGTTAATTTGATTTTTTGAGGACCACCCTAATGTATATATAATAGTCATAAAAATATACCATGCAAGAATGTGTTATTCAACCTCTGCAAACTGGTGCGTTGAGCAATCCCTGGTTTCATTTATTATCAGATTGCCGTATATCCTACACGTTTTTTGAAAGTGCATTAACTCTAAATTTTTCGTTTTAGATACATATGATTCTCACCAAAACGTTTAAAATGAGCTTGGAAACATTTTCGTGTATTTTCCTACAAATAAATCATTTTGAGTTAAAGAACTTTAGAATAACGTGTGCCATATGTATTTCTTTCAAATCATCGCCAGCAGATAACCATATAAATCCTTTACTAATCTTATCTTCTTGTCACACTGCCAGTTATCGGCACTTGAATGGCGTGATACAAAATACAATGGGGCAGATACCCTTAAAAGCTGCGAAAAAAAAGTTTAAACAAATTTGTTCAGTATACTTTCAACATATTTCTCAATTAGAATACTACGTAATAAAGGTACTGTTTTAGCGTATTTAAACGACTTATAAAAAACGCAATTCGTTTTTACAGTGACATATGACTTTGGTGCAACTTTGAAGTAGTTTCGCGCTAAGTATGTAAATTATTTTTTGGTGTTATTTAGTAATGATTTTTTTCTCCATTATATAAAAAGTTTTAAGTAGCCACAAGAAATTTAGTTATTTAGCCAAATTATAGGAAATTTAATAAATAATATATATTTTCTTTAGGTTCCAA